GTGCATGTTTAGAAGCAAGAAGGGAGCCAGGCATGGTGATGCATGACTTTAGTCCCAGCACTCAGGAGGCAGAGGCAGGTGGATCTCTGAGTTCTAAGCCAGTCTGGTCTACAGGGTGAGTTCCAGGACAGCCAGCTCTCTGTGGAGCAGGCCAGAGGCTCCAAACACAGGCCCAGCTCACAGGAAATACCTCATGGACACTGGGTCTTGTTTCTGTCCTTTGCTTTCCTCCAGAGTCTCCTCATTCCCAGAAGCCTCTGCTCCATTGAATTCTGCTTGCGCTCTTAAAGATGTACGTATTCTGGGAACTTGGGGACTGGTGTTTGGGTGCTGAAGGTCTTCTGCAGCCTCTTTACACCCTCTGCTTGATGAGTCCTCTCCGAAGCTCAGAGTGAATGTCGAGGTCTTGGACTGTGAGCTCTTCCCACCCATCCTCCTTCTGGTGCTCCCCAACTTCTGCCTGATCCATTTTCCCTGAGGTCCTGTAGGGAGTGTCCTGGGAGTTCCTATATCTGCTCAGTTAGTGTGTATGCACACACACATGCACATGTGACATGATATACACATGGAGCTCAGGGGACCACATTGGAGAGTCTGTTCTCGCTTTCCACTGTGTTGGGTGGGGCAGGGCTCTCTTTCTTGTTTCTGCTGCCCTGTGCTATAAGGCCCCGGGTGAGTTGACTCTTGAGATGAGCTCCTGAACTATGTCTTCTGTCTTGCTATGTAAGGTTGGAATTGGTGGTTTTTTGCCTGTATGTATGTCTGTGTGAGGGTGTTGGATCTTGAACAGACAGTTGTGAGCTGCCATGTGGGTGCTGGGAATTGAACCTGGGTCCTCTGGAAGAGCAGCCGGTCTCCAAACCCCTGAACCGAGCCGTCTCTCTAGCCGCCTGACATCTGGCTTTTGATGTGGATTTCTGGGATCTAACTCAGGTCTTTGGACTTGGGCAATTAGCACTTTACCTGCTGAGCACCATGGTCACGGCCCCTGCTCAGTTATTTTACTAAATATCTTCAGGTTGCTTCCTCCTTGAGAGTGCACAGCTCCCCCCACACCTCATGGTGCTCAGTCTCATCCAGAGTTGGGATTTGGCTACAATGGTGGGTATTGAGTGCTGGCACATCACAGTGTTTCTTGGGTCACTGGTAAGTGCAAGCAGCTTGGCACAGCTTGGCCACTCGGCCACTGAGGACACTTGGCAGGGAAAGGTCAGTTTGGCTTGAAGGGCTGAGATCTGGCAAGTGGGTCCCCCTCTTTTATTTTTTCAGGATTTGAGGACACTAGAGAGGGACACAAGGTGACTTGAATATTAGACATGGCTGTCAGAGCAAAGGCTCATGCCTGGGCCTCATCTCTCTACACACCTCACCTCTTCTCTCCTCCTTACTGAATCCTCCCAGCTCCACCCCTTTGTCCAAGATGTTCTTCATAGAGCTTAGCAGTTCTCCCAAGCTACTGAACCCAGTCCGGGTTCCTCAGGCTGCTCAGCTGACCCACAGGGCCTTTCCCTCCTGAGAAGGTGAGTGGGCACTTCCTGAAACAACACGGACGTTTTCCTGGTAGTCAAGCTTCCCCAAGCCAGGAAAATGGCCACATGCAGAGTCTGTATGTGTGTGTGGGGTCATGCGTGTAGTATCTTATGTGCTTTTTGGGGTGACTCTACTCTGAGTAGTCTAGTTTGTTTCCCACACTGCACTGTGACATCTTAGAAACACATGTGGCCTGAGTCATTTAGGCATTGGAAGCCACACATACGAACACTCGGGAAAGCTGTATGAAAAGATGGCGATGAAGTGGCCGAGAGATCAGGGGTCAGGAGGGAGGGACCATTTGTAGCCAGGTGTGGTACCCTCCTTTAATCTCAGCCCTTGGGAGGATGAGGCAGGAGGATCACTGTGAGTTCCAGGACAACCTGCCTCAGATTCCTTTGTGCTGGAATTAGAGGCCTGCACCACCATGCCCCAGTTGCTGGTGCTTCTGTTATGGAGAGTTCACTGTGGTGGAAGCCAGATGTCAGGTAAGCAGCGGACTGTCCTGAAGCCACCATGCTGTGGGAAGTGCAGAGAAGTTACGGGAAGAAGTCCCAGGCTAAGTCAAGGGACAAGGTGCTTAGCCATTACCTGGCTCCTGAAGTCCCCTGCTGACCATGCCTGGCTCCTGAAGTCCCCAGCTGACCATGCCTGGCTCCTGAAGTCCCCTGCTGACCATGCCTGGCTGCTGTTTGATTGCAGTACAAGGGAGCCCTGGCCTAGACCTGCCCAGCGCAGCCCCCTCCAAGTCCCTTATGCACTTACATGGAGGAGGAGGATCAAACAAATGCTGTCGTGTGGGCTGCTTGTTACACAGCAGTGCTAATTCCACAGGCTTATCCTAACTCTCAGTCTTTGCTGACAGATGACAGTTACCATTTTCTACTCAGTCCCCAGAACCTACATTGGAAAGTTCTAGATGTACATGGACGGATATGTGATGCATGAAAGCCTGAAAGTTGTCAGACATGGTGGTTCACACCTGTAATCTCAGTTCTCCAGAGGTTAAACGGAAGGGTTGCCCTAAATCTGAGGCCAGCCTGGATCCAGTGGGACTCCAAAAGGAGAAACAAAACAAAACAAAAACTCAGGTAGGTTGGCAGCACACTTAACAATCCCAGCACTTTGGAGACTGAGGCAGGATGACTGTCATGAGACCATCTGGGACTACATAGTTTCAGGCCAACCCAAGCTACAGAGTGAGGCCCTTGTCTCTCAAAAACAGTGAGACGGTTCATTGCTACCGAACCCTAACAACTTCAGTTGAGTCCCTGGAGTCCACAGCAGTCTGATGTGGGTGTGCACATCTGTAGTCCTAATGCTCTCACATCGGGATGGGAGATGCTCGAAGGCCTGCCAGCAGAGCGGCAGAAACAGGAGCGACTGCTTCAACAGGGTGGAGAGAGAGAGAGCAGATTCCTGAAAGTTGTCCTCTGACCTCTGCACTGGGGCCTGGGCACACCAGCACTCCAACACCCATCATGTGGCTGAAGAGATGGCTCAGGGGTTAAGAGCATGTGTTGCTCTTCCAGAGGACTTCAGTTCAGTTCCCCCGCACCCACATCAGGTGGTTCCCTGGTGCCTGCAATTCCAGCTCCAGGGGCTCCAACGCCCTCTTCTGGCTTGTGGGGGTACCCACATACATGTGGCAGACATTCACCCGAACACACACACACATATGAATAAATAAGAAATAAAAATAAATCTAAAACAACAACCTCACCCACATCATGTACACACCACACACACACACACACACACAACGAGAGAGAGAGAGAGAGAGAGAGAGAGAGAGAGGGAGAGAGAGAGAGAGAGAGAGAGAATAAATAGTGTGAGCCATGTCAGCATGCTGTTTGAGGAACTAAAGTATTCCTAACCCAGCTTGGGAGGATCCGAAAGGGTCCTTGGAGGAGATGCTCTGTGTCCCTTGGTAGGGCTGAGGACCCAGAGAATACCTGCCTACCTACTAAGTTTGCCATTTTCTTGCCCCCCCAGAGGCTTCCTGGCTTGCTGTGTCTAACCGGCCCATCCCCACATCTGTTTGGGGCCCCTCCCCTCCCTCCCTCCTCCCTCCCTCCACCCTCCCTCTCCAGGCCCGCAGGCTCACTCATGCCTCCTCTGACTCTAGGTCTGGCTGAAGAAAATTAAGTCAATGGGGAGGGAGGAGTTGACAAATAGAAGGTCTGGTAATTGAATTTTTTCCCTCTCCCTCCCTCCACCGGCAGAGAGCAGGAAGAATGCCTCTGAAGACTAGCTCTCCCTGCTCAAGGAGCCCTGGAAGTTCCCCCCCTCCCCGCCTAGGCCAATGAGAGGGGTGCAGAGGCAAGCCGAACCTTCTGGGATCTTGAGGGCCAAGCTTTGTACACAGGGGGAAACTGAGGCAGTGGAGGTCAGAGGTCTGCTCCCCAGGTGCCCAGTGTGCTAGAACAGAAGCCAGGACTGGAAGAGAAAGGCCATCTAGGCCAACATCTCCAGAAGGTGGGAGCAGATGCTGGGAGCATTCATGTTCAGCAGTGGTCCCCTGCCCACCAGTGCAGAAACCCAGCGGGTTCTGGGCCCCCGAGCAACTTCCTGCCCATCTCCGTCAATTCCGGAGTCCAGAGGGTGGCCAGCGCACTGGGCACTGGGTGGGGTGGGCTTGTCTACAGGCCCAGCCAACCCACAGGGCTAGCCTTCCAGCAGGCCTTTCTTCAGGTAAAACACCCTCAATGGGTGCTAGAGTGTGTGTGTGTGTGTGTGTGTGTGTGTGTGTGTGTGTGTGTGTGTGTGTGTGTGTGTGTGTGGTCACAGCTGGTGCTGAAGGGCAGAGGGAGGCAAGGCTGGAAGTGTCCACAGGCTGCTAGGATCATTCTGAAAAAACGGAGGGCAGTGTGCATCTCACAGGCTGCGGTGAATTAGAGAGGGCACAGGCCCTTGGCTGGCCTCCAGTCAAGGGTCTGCTTTGCTTCACTGGACGGATGAAGATCCCTCACTGGAGGGATGAGGCTCCTGGGAGACCCGGATCTAGTCACAGGCCAGTGTCAGGAGTCACACCAAGGAGCCTGGAACCTAGATAGGCTTCGGGGCGGGAGGGTGGAGGTGGGGGGTGCCGGCCTCGCTCCGCCAGGCAGGAGGGAGCTGCGACGGGCGCCTGCCCCCTCCACCCGGCCCAGCGGGCGTGGGCGCCGCGGCCCCGCCTAGCCGAGCGGCGGCGGCTGGCTGCTGCGGGAGCGTTTGATTTATTAAGCTAATGTTCTAGCACATTTTCTCCATCCCGTAATGAGCTGTTTCCACCAGGGGGTGTCTGCAAAGCGACTGCGGCTTCCGGCCGCTCCGGGAGGGAGGCTGGGCTGGCGGGCGGCAAGGGGGTGTCTGTGGGGTGCGGTCTGTGCTTCTCGGGAGGGGTGACTTGCAAAACACTGGAGAGGTGGAGGGGGAGCCATGGCCCTGCAGCCTGCGAACGACCCCGCCTTTCTCCCTGCTCCCTCCCGCCAGATCCCTCAATATCCCGGGGCTTCAGAGGACGCGCTGCGCCCCCCCCCACCCCCCCGCATTCAGCCCTGAGTGACCCTCACCCACCCACAACTCATACTTCTGAGCTCCAGTCTGCCTGCCCCTCCTGGTTAGATTCCTCCGTTGGATTTCTGTGGCTTGTCGCCACAGATAAGGTCCTGGCATTCAGACTCATCTAGGTTCAAATCCCATTCCAGCTACCTTCTAGAAGCAGCCACTGGACTGTTGTCTATTTTAAAATAGCGACAAAGACTGGTTTGTGAGGCTCTGTGGAGTTTAGTGACAGCCCTTGTGAAGCTCTATACTGTGTTAATACCCATAGACACTGGGAGAGACCTTCTGGGCAACTGAGTGACAATGCATGGGACAGAAGCACTGAGACAGCACCCTGCACCCCCAGGTCTCACCTGCACCCCCAGGCTTCACTTGCACCCCCAGGCTTCACCTGCACCCCCAGGCTTCACCTGCACCCCCAGGGCTCACCTGTACCCCCAGGCTTCACCTGCACCCCCAGGACTCACCTGCACCCCCAGGGCTCACTTGCACCCCCAGGCTTCACCTGCACCCCCAGGCCTCACCTGCACCCCCAGGGCTCACCTGCACCCCCAGGCCTCACCTGCACCCCCAGGCCTTATCTGCAGGTCTTAACCCTGCACCCAGAGATCTCACCTGTAGTTTTTTTTTTTTTTGGGGGGGGTGGTTTTTCCGAGACAGAGTTTCTCTGTGTAACAGCCTTGGCTGTCCTGGATCTTGCTCTGTAGACCAAGCTTGCCATCCACCTGCCTCTGCCTCCGGAGTACTCTCCTGTAGTTCTTAATTCTGCACCCACAGGCTCTTGCTGATGACAAGCCAGAGCTTTGCTTTCTGCATAGAGGGTCCGAGATGTTTTCTCTCCAGGAAACCCACTTGGTCCCTTCCGATTGGCGCTCATTCTTCCATACCTGTCCTTTGTTGCTGAACCCAGGTCTGTCACCCAGAAGGTGCTTATCAAGACACGGCCCTTAACCACAGGCTTTGAAGGTGCTGTTCCAGTGACTCACGCCTGGGAGGGGACGATGGTATGACTAAGTCAGGCTTCTTGAGAGTTGTCTCAATCTGTTTTCTGTTGCCAGTAACCCAGTGCCACAGACTGGGTGGGTGAGAAGAGAAGAGGGTTAGTTTGGTTTGAGGTTCTAGTTTACTGTCGTGGACCACGTCTGGAGTTTCTACTGGCAGTGTCCCAAGATGCAAGGCGTCCTTTCTCTCTCTCTCTCTCTCTCTCTCTCTCTCTCTCTCTCTCTCTCTCTCTCTCTCTCTCTCTCTCGTGTGTGTGTGTGTGTGTGTGTGTGTGTGTGTGTGTGTGTGTGTGTGTGTTCTGGTCTCTTCTAAAGCCATCAGGATTCAATCATAGGGCTCCATTCTGATGAACTTTTCTAATCCAATCACGTCCCCAAAGCTGACCTTTATTTTTAAAATTACATTTATTTATTGTGCATGTGAGCATGTGTGTGGCACACGTGTGGAGGTTGGAGAAATTTGCGTGAGTCCGTTCTTTCCTCCCACCCTGTGGGTCTTGGGGATTGAACTCAGTTGTCAGGCTTATATGGCAAGCATCTTTACCCACTGAGCCATCTGGTAGGCCCAAGGCCTACCTTTAGACAGCATCCCTGATTAAAATGCCACTCTCTTAGTGCCTCACAACTAGGGTTAGATTTCAACATGATCTTCTGGTATGGACAAACTAGCAAATACCAAGTACTTTTTCTGACGGAAAGAGGAAAGCAGCCCTGTTCATAGTGATGAGGTCTGTGGGTGCAGGGCTAAGGGTGCAGGTGAGGTCTGTGGGTACAGGATTAAGGGTGCAGGTGAGGTCTGTGGGTGCAAGGCCAAAGGTACAGGTGAGGTCTATGAGTTCCGGGATAAGGGCTGCATCACAAAGTGCCATGGCCAGCTCACCTTCCTTAGGAATTGGGACCAGCTCCGGCAGGGAGTGACTTGTCTAGGCACCTAGGTAGGATAAAGTGTCAGAGCAAAATGGAACGCTTGTGTGCTCAACTGTTCAGTGCTGCTCCACTCCTCCCTGGGATGGTGGAGGGGCCTTGGGCTTCAGCAGCTGAAGACATCTTCCAGATCCCTTCTTGCAGAGGGAGAGCCCTGCAAGCCTTGGCTCTGGGTGGTTGGGGGAACTTCAGAGAACCCTTTCGGCTGGGCTAAGTCAGCAGTGGGGGAGGAGGCAGGGCCTGCCTGAGGTCCACTGCATGTCTGTACTTGCTGTCTTCTTTCTCTTCCCCTATGAATTCAGAGCCTCATTGAGTCTACCCACCTCCCCAAGAGAGCGGGACCTAGGCAAAGCTTCCGTAAGCAAGTGGACTGAGGGAAGATTGGAGCCGAGGTAGGCCAGGCCCTTTCTGCTCATGCCCCATATCAAAGAACCTAAAGCCACGTGTGCAAGGCCGTCCATTCTCCAGTGCCCACCCCACCCCCCCTGCCCTTCTTCCACCCTGTTCTGCTGGGGGCTCTGCTGCCTCTGCCCTCACCTCCCAGCCTCTGCAGGTGTCCTTCCCTTTGTTTCTCTCTGCTGGCTGCCACACCTCCTTAGCAAGGCTGGTCCTAATCTTTCCTGGCCCAGAGAAGTCCCACAGCCCGCTCAGCTCCCATCATGTTAGTGGCAAGGGTTGTCCTTGTAGGAGGCAGCTAAGAGTTCCTTGTTTATTGCCTAAATCACCCCCAGCGACACTGGAGCATTATGCATCACTTGAGCAGGGACCCTGTATGCCTTGTCTCCAGAACGAACACTCCAGTGCTGCGCTGAACTGCCTCCTCTGTTTGCAGGTTGATTTGCGTAGATAGGGTCTTGCTATGTAGCCCAGGCCAGCTTTGAACTTGATATCCTCCTGCTTCAGTGTCCTGAGTCCTGAACAACCACCTTCCTATTTCTTTTTGGGGGAAATGAGATACAAGGGTGCAGAAGACTTGAGAAACTTATGGCTGAGCAAGCAAAGAGATGGGATATGTGTGGGATGTGTTGAAGGGGACCAGGCTGTCATCTTAGGCGCTGAGCCATGGAGACAAGGACAACCCTATTGGCAGACCTGGAGGTAACTGTTGGTGCTGATGTTGGACTTGAGATAACTGTTGTTGTTGGTCTCTAGATATCTGCTGATGTCGGACTTCAGCAGTCTTCAATTAGAAATTATATTGAAGATGGAAGAATGACATTCATAAAAGCAACCAGAGCGGCAAGGTATACGAGTATTTAAGACCTTGGGGAATTCAATGTAGCATCAAAAAGCCCCCCCACCCCAAACAACCGATCCTTACTCGAGAGGGACTAGCCAAGATCAGAAGAATCCTGACAGTTAACAAGGAAGGGTCAGTGAGATGGATCAGTGAGTAAAAGCACCTGCAGCCAAACCTGATGATCAAAGTTCAAATCCCCAGACCCACCCAGTAGAGCATCGACTCCCACTAGAAACCTGACCTTCATATCTATACCACGGCATGGCATGCATGTCCACACATGCACACCAGGTAACTAAATGAAAGCTGTAAAGGAAGGAAGAAAATTTAAAAAGCACGGGAGGAAGACTGGGAAATGAAAGGCAGAGTTGGATCTCCGTATCTGGATCTGTGCTTGGTTGACAAGTGTCTAAGCAGAATGGCTCCCACCACCCACTCATGTGGATGAAACAAATCTCAGCGATGTCACTTCAGCCTGAATTCCAGAGCAACTGAACTTGACTCCATTGGCAGCTTAGCTTTACTCCTCTGACTTACCTTCCAGAAGAATCTGAGAGGATGCCTTTTTATTTGTTTATTGAGACAGGGTCTTAGTATGTAGCTCTGGCTGCCCTGGAACTCACCCTGTAGATCTGCCTGCCTCCACCTCCCCAGTGCTGGGATTAAAGGCATGCGCCACCATACCTGGGTAAATGACTATTTATTTATGTGTATGTGTATTTTTGTCTGCATGTATGTCTATGTACCACATTTTTGTCTGTGGAGGCCAGAAGAGGGTGTCAGATCCCTTGGAACTGGAATGTAACCCATCACATGTGTGCTGGGAATTGAACCCGGGTCCTCTGGAAGTGCAGCCAATGCTCTTAATCCCTAAGCCATCTCTCCAGCCCCCAAGGCTGACTGCTCGACCCTAGCTCTGGTCTTCAGCTCCTGAAAATAAGACCAGGCAGGAGACTTTTTTTTTTTTTTTTTTTTTTAAAAGATTTATTTATTTATTATGTATACAGTGTTCTGTTTGCATGTATGACCGCAGGTCAGAAGAGGGCGCCAGATCTCATTATAGATGGTTGTGAGCCACCATGTGGTTGCTGGGAATTGAACTCAGGACCTCTGGAAGAGTAGTCAGTGCTCTTAACCTCTGAGCCACCTCTCCAGCCCCCCAGGCAGGAGACTTAAGTGGATCCCTGCTCAGCTACATCACAGCCCTACCTTTTCCCCTTGGACTGACCTGATCCGCCCAAGATTCTCCAGCGCCCCTCAATTTTTCCTAAACTTTTTTTTTGTCTTTTTTTTTTTTTTTTTTCCAGAGCTGAGGACTGAACCCAGGGCCTTGCGCTTGCTAGGCAAGCGCTCTACCACTGAGCTAAATCCCCAACCCCCCTAAACTTTTTTTTTGAGACAGGGTCTTGCTATGTGGCCCTGGCTGGCCTGAAAATCACTCTATAGACCAACTCTACCTTCCAAGTCCCTGTACCAAGTCCCAGCTAGTTTTTCCTAAATTTTTACCTGACATATGATGTTACTCAGCCAAAGATTATCTTGAAAACATCCTAAATCAAACACGTATTTAACACGCCTAACGAACACTTGAACTTAGCCTAGCCTGCGTTAGGAAACCAATGGTACAGGGGGCTGGCTAGGAAGGCTTAGCAGGTAAAAGCCCTTACCTTGCAGGTCTGGCAACTTGAGTTCAATCCCCGGGACCCACATAAAAAGGTGGAGGGAGAGAATCCACAGGTGTTTTCTGACCTCCACAGGAGTGCCATGGCACACGCATGCACACACACACACACACACACACACACACACACACACACACACACCCTTATCAAGCTTGCCATGGTCTGCATCTGTATTCCCAGGGGTTAGGGAGCTGGGAGGATCTCTGGAGTCCACAAGTTCAATGTCATTCTGATGGCAAGGTAAGACCCTGTTTCAAAACAAAACAAAATCAGAACAAGAACCTTCACCGGGTCTCAGCGCCTCTTCAGGAGCCGATTCCCTCAGGACTCCACTCACAAGGGGGCTCTGCTTTCTGCTGTTGACCTGTGGCTGATGTCCCTGCTTACCAGGTGCTGCCATGCACCCTCCATATATTTGCTTGCCTAGCCCTCAGGCTGGCACCTTGGAATAGGGCTTGTTTTCATCCCCCGATACAACCAGGATGGGGGATTCCACCAGGGGTGGAAATAACTGGCCCAGTCTTACCCAGAAACTGTGTGGCAGCACTGGTCAGTCCACAGGGTTGATGCTTGGCGCTCTGTCCTAGACTCCCTCTAGAAACAGCATGGTCCACTTGCCTGCTGCTCCCAAGGGTGCCCCCCTTCAAGTGCAATTCCAGCACTTATGGTGAGGGGGCAAGTCAGGAAGATGGAAAGTAGGCTAGCCTGGGCAACACAGTGAGACCCTGACTTAAAAACACAAAGCAGCCTCATTACTACTGTGTGGAGTATGGACAGGCTCTTGGAACTTGTTCTCTGACATCCCCATGCGCCTCAAAGGGTCTTGGTTGGTCTCTCTCTCTCTCTCTCTCTCTCTCTCTCTCTCTCTCTCTCTCTCTCTCCCTTTTCTCTCCCCCTCTTCCTTTTCTCCACTCCTCCACTTCCCCAGTACTGGGGCTTGAACTCAGCATGCTAGGGGAGTGTTCTGTTGTCAAGCTATACCCCAACCCCTCCAAAGGGTATCTCTCCCTCCCTCCTTCCTGCCTTTATTCCTCTCTCCCTTCTTCCTGCTCTCTCTCTCTCTCTCTCTCTCTCTCTCTCTCTCTCTCTCTCTCTCCCTCTCATTTGAGACAGAGTTTCTCTGTGTTGCCCTGTAGCCCAGGCTGACCTTGAACTCACAGAGATCCGCCTGCCTCTGCCTCCCCAGTGCTGGGATTAAAGGTGTGCGCCACCACCGACAGCCCAGCTGAGTACTAGCGCAGCTTGTGCTCCTATTCACTGAGCCTTCCCCCCAACCCTTCAAAAGAGTTTTAAAATATATAAATTAGCCAGGCATGGTGGTGCACACCTTTAATCCCAGCCCTCTAGAGACAGAGGAAGGCAGATCTCTGTGGGTTCAGACCAGTCTAGTCTACACAGCAGGTTACAGTATAGTCAGGGCTATATGATAGGCCTTGCTTCGGAAGGCCAAGGCAAAAAGAAAGGTAAAATACACACACACACACACACACACACACACACACACACACACACAGAGAGAGAGAGAGAGAGAGAGAGAGAGAGAGAGAGAGAGAGAGAGAGAGACTTTTATATATAATATAAATTTAAAAGTGACATTTATTTTCTTATTTATTTTATTTTGTGTGTGCATAGTGTGTGTGCAGAGGGTAGTGGATGACTTTTGGGAGTCGGTTCTCTCTTTTCACCATGTAGGTCTTGGGGGTGGAACTCAGATCACCAGGCTTAGTGGCAAGCGCTGTTATCCCCTGAGCCTCTTTCTGATCCTCCTTCCCACAGTTTTGATGGCTCCCGGGGAGCCGGGGTGGCCTGGAAGGGCCAGAGTGGACACAGGTGACCGGTGAGGGTGCTGTTACCCTGGAGGAAGACGGCGGGTGGGAGCTTAGACTTAGAGACATGACATCTGTCGAGGAGAGACCAGTGGCCAACTCCGCTCTCTAGGCCTTCTTCGTTTCCTGGCTCCTGGGTCAGTTCTAAAACCCAGTCATCCCCAGATGCTGAGCCCTGCTCCCAGGGTTGGCCTGGGTTCGAGCTGAAGCCCTGCCTCAGGTTCTCCGTGCTGTGGAGAGTCAGGGCCTGGGTGTCAGGCTAGGCTCTGCAAGGGAGTTAGTTGACAGGTGACAGGGTGGGGTGGAGGGGGGGGTTGCCGGACAGCCTAGCCAGCCTGCATGATTTGGGGGTGGCTGGGGCTGGAATGTAGGTCTGGTCTTGTCTGCAGTGCTCTGGGGCAGGCCCGGAAGCACAGGGGGAAAGTCCCTGAGCAGCGGGTCCAGGGCTTTCCGGGCAGAGGGGCAGCCTGGCCAGAAGCATGGGTGGTGACAGCAGGCGGCTCCCTTCCTGAGTGGCGGAGGTTACCTTTCCTCTGGATGTTCTTCCTGGAGCATGCGGATGCCAAGGCAGGGAGTGTCCATGCTGCCGTGGCAGTGGTAACCTGCGGCTGTGAGGAGACAGTGTTCAGGACTTCCTGGGTCTTAAGTCAGGGATACACGGGGGTGCTGGGGAGGACCTAGGTTGTGGTGCTAGCTGTCATTCTGGGTAAGTGAGGCCAAGCCTGGCCCCGTGTGTAGGTCTAGACTCTGTAGTATTTCAAATTAGTATGGGTGGCTTGGCTGGAGAAGTCATCTAGCAGAAGTAATATGGGGCCCTAGGGTGGGGGCTGAGGGAGCCCGGGGTGGGGGGAGGGAGCTGTTCTAGGCATCTCCCTTAGGGACGAATGTCACTATTGCTGTTGATTTTATATGATTATGGACAAAGAAATCCAAACACAGAGGAAGCTAAGTGTTCATGATCTTGTTCCTTAACCATGATCATAGTCATATTTGGTTACTGTTGAAGTTCCTGGACTGACCACTTCAGACAGACTCCCCTCTGAGATGCCTCCTCTTCCTGACCTCATTCAGTGACCTCCCCCCAAAATCTCCTTTTGTGCTAAAAAAAAAAAGAAAGAAAGAAATAGAGTGTTTTTTCCTCCAGGCATGGTCCACTCAAGAGAAAGAGGGTCTTCTCTGTACCCTTGGCTGTCATTTGTCCTTCTCATTCAGGGAGATGCCTGGGCCAGGTTGTGATGTTCTAGCACCTACTGCTTCTTCCATAGCCTGAAGTTGCCTGGACTAGAAGGTTCTGGGCTCCCTGTGCAGCCGGTGTCCAAGGTGGCCCCAGGATGGCGCCTCTGTGCTCCCTCCAGCACTGAATCACGCCAGGCTGCTGGAGGAGTACTCAAGCTACCCTGGGGAGAAGCTGCATCCATAGGTGTGGGGTCCTTGGCCGTAGCTAGCACCTGCCAATGTGCGCGGCTCTGGGTTGCTTTAGAGATGTACACTTAAGCCTGGGCTCAACTGCAGCCCTTCTCTGCCAGGCTGTGCCAGGCTGTGCCAGGCTGTGCCAGGCTGTGTATCTGGGGCCTGATTCACCACGTGCACTGGTTTAGGAGTGGGTCAGGGCTGATTCAGAGTGAAGCCTGCTGGGATATTTCTTTCCCAATGCCTTGCTAGTTAGAATCCTAGCTGCATGAGCTCGCAAAATGGCTCAACCTGGAGAAGTGCTTGCTGCCAAGCTTGGTGACCTGAGTTTGATCCCTGGGGACCACGTGGTAGAAGGCAAGACCCAGCCACAAGTTGTCCTCCCTCTGACCTCCACGTGGACACTGCGGCACATACCCCTAACTCCACGAAATAAGTGAGTGTGATTTTAAAAATTTAAAAAGAATTTTAACTGTGTGTCTCTTACCAATGCTTTCTTATTCATGCTTAGTTTTCCTTCTCATCCCTAAGGGACAAAGCCTGTGAAGAGCCATTTCTCTCCTGAAGCGTGGACTCTTCCCCAAACCCACCAATTGTAAGCAGATGGAACCCTCTTTCCCTGGCTGCAGTATTTGGTCATGGATGCAAGAGAGTGAGTCCCAGCTCAGCCTTCCCTGCCGTGTGGCCTTGGGCAACTATTTTAGATTCCCTGAGCCTGATTCCTCATCTGTAAAGCGATGACAG